AACTCCCACGCATGCGCAGGATTGATGTAATCTCCACTGGGCCAATGACAGTGGCCACGATCGAGACCCAGAAGCCGGCTGCCCAAAGAAGTCAATAGCTGGTGGGCAGTTCTGGGGACGGGGCATTGCTTGATTCAAGGTGGGTATAGTTCCACTTTAACCTTTGCATTCCAATCTCCCGGAGGCCCTTTAAATGCAAGAAGGTGACACAGATTCCTGATTGGCTCTCTCAGTGGTCCCATGATCAAGAGTCCATCACACTGGTTCTTGATCAGAAGCATTGAGCATGACAGCGACTGCTCATTTGATGTACTGTCAGCACACCCACAGCAAGCAACCTCAGACCACCCTGGATTCATATGTGCGGCAGCTGTGCATTGAAGCCCACTCTACCTGCTGCTGCATATATGTGTTACATGGTCAGGAAGAGGATAAAGAAGAACTCAGCCCACCTTTCTGTTATCTTCTTTCAAAACTCCACTTATCTTTTTTCCCTGGGTTGTCCTTGATAAACATACTCAAATGCCCAATGAATCCAACATTGCGCTTCTGTAACCCATCATTTTACTCTATCAGTCCTGCACCTCCATTTTCCTCTCTTACATCATATAAGCCAGTAACCGACTATATCTTCCTTGTTCTTGCCAAGAAGAGACAGCAAGACCCCCATGACATACTGAATCATGCACTGTAGATTATCTCCTGAGATGTGAGACATGAGTATCTCAAGAGACTGCGGGCAGCAGGGAGGGGGCATCCTTTTTGCCTAGATGAGAATCCCAGAGGTGCAGGGAGGTTTCCCATAAAAAAAAGGTACTTAAATAAATATGTGATTGTATGAAAGGAGTGGGGTATGAGTAAAATGATGCAAAATAGGTGGGGAGGGGGATAGTCTGCTAAGCAGTATACATATAGAATGCTGCAAAATCTGATGCATTCCTCCTTGGTAAGCACTTACTTTGACCTATAGCTCTGAAGTCAGCAAAGTTCATGCTCCCTACTGAATGGAGAGGTCTAGCATTGACTCCTAAGGGTGCATGTAACACATCTGCAGAGGCCATTGCTTTCTCATCAAGAGCAAAGGTCCTTCTCTATAGCTGCTGGCTGTGGTTGTTTTGTAAAGAAAACTGTGAGACCTTGCACACTTTTTATTGTGATGTACCAAGAATTTATTTAGCTGATTTAGGCTGAATATACACTATTGCGGGGCATTAACACATACGAGTTTACTAGCATACCGTACATTATATGCATTGCATTAAAGTGTCGTCTTCTGTACTCTGCAAAAACCCTGATTGATCTTGCTGTTCTCTCTCCCCCCTTCTGTCCATGTCCCCAATGCAGTTAGGAATTTTGCAGAGCAGTGTTGGCAGCTATTACACATGCTCAGTTTGCACAGAGTTTCTATGCTGAGCATTTCCTCTCTATCACATTTGAGCAGCCCATGACTTTAGAGTAACACATGTGGGTGTATACACAGTGGTAAATGACAGCCCACTCCCTTCCTCTTCCTCCATGCCCACTAACCAGCTAAACACTATGGGGGGGGGGGGGGGGGGGGGATATTACATCTTGACTGACGGAGCCTTCACCTCTCTGTTATTCTAAGACACAGGCTGGAGGGGTGTGACACAGCCTATGACTGGCAGAAATCCACCCACACCATGTTATTTCCAATAAATAATAAAGATTTGCTTTCAAATATATATTTGTATGATGATTCCAAACAGTTTATTCATATTAATTATTTATTTTTACTCCGTATCCCAAAGGCTGTTTTTTTAATGTGAACATGTGACCAGTAGCAGAGAGCTAGAAGCTTCTGCTTCTGCTTCCCTGCAGACAGGCTAGGAAAGATCTGGGTCATGTGACAGCTGTATGTCAATTAGGAAAAAGGTACTCAGATTTTATTTTTATTAAAATAGTTACAGAGCCATCATCCATATACAGAAAGAGAAGGGATAATGTAAATTATAATGTAAATTAAACAGTATGTTTAGTATTACTGTAAGTCAACCAATTCATTTGAATGGGCTGCCTAATAAACCCCAAAACCCACCAAAAACGGTGCAAAAAGGATGCATATACAATTGTTTGTAACACAGCACAACACACAGTAGTACTATACATTATTCTGTGTTATAGTGCGCCGCTGGCGAGGGGTGTCCAGGTGCCATTAAAAATGAAATGCTCAGCACTTACCACAGCTCAACAGAGTGAATCCAGCTTTGATCTGACAGTTCAGTTAAAGCGGAACTACATCCTCCTATCCTTTACCTTCAAGGAAGCTACAGTGGCCTTGGTGCTGCACACCTGATCAGTTTTGACACCAGCGATTTGATGGCTTGAGAGCACAAGCAACTGTGACATGATAATTCACGACATGCCTTGAATGTATCTGTTTTCGGAAACCGTTAAATGGATGGGTTTAGTTCTTCTTTAACCTCGTCACGCCGGCAGCACACAAATGTGCGGCCTCCCGGCGTCTGGGCCTAGACACTGAGCGGCCGCACATTTGCGTGCAATTAACAAAAAACATGTGCTGAGAGCGCGCTCCCAGCACACATGTCCGGTACTCACGGCAAGGTCTGATCTTTCGATCGGGGCCTTTCCCCGATCATGTGACCGCCGTGATGACGCGTCACAGCGGTCACATGATCCCTAAACCCTGCCCGTCCCGCCTCCCGGCTTCTGAAACTCTTAAAGGGCGCCGGCGGGAAGGGGTTAAGTTCTAATGCTGTTGTGCAATAGGAAGACGGGTCATCCGCACACCAGAGGATAGATGAATACAGAGTGTATTTATTAATCCATAGGGCACAAAACACCAGGACATGAATACAGGACCTGTTAACGCGTTTCACACAATCTCGTGCTTAATGCTATTGTGCTCAGGCTAAATTTTTAAATAATATTACATCATCAATTCTCTCATCTGATTGGTAGGAATTTGCTGTCAGGAAGGTGGGTATTAATGATGGGAATTTGTGTTATCACTTATAATAGAACCCATTCACACTGGGCTAGCCTTCGTTTTGTGAGCGGTGGAATACCGGTGCTCAAGTATCTTTTTGAGCTTTACCAGTTTTTAAAGCTGCATACTTTGCCTTGTCTGTTGTGCTTTTTTCGCACGCAAACCTGCACATCTTGCTTGCAGCGTTTGGGGTGCCATTGCTAATGAAAGTGCGACAGGCACTTTTTGCGCTACCGTAGTGTGACTGCATCCTCATAGATATCCATGAAATGGACTTATTTCTGATTCATTGATTTATTTTGTTGCAAAACTCTTCAAGCATGTGCTGGAAAATAGCAGTCATAGATAAGAGTTTATATAGAGAAATACGTGTTTTGTCTGTGGCTGGAATGTTTTTATAAGAGATACTATTAGGTATTATCTTGTGTGTCATGTTTGTCCTCTTTTGTTCTTGTTCCTGTTAAGCATTAGAAGACATTTTCTTTGTCCTCAAATGACTGGTATTGCTTTACTGAATTTACATAGTTATGATTTTTTTTGTGTGAGAAATACCACCATTTATGGGATGTCACATTATATGTACTATTATGTGTCTTCTTTCCTGTTGGTTAAAGGCTGCTATTAATATTAGTTTCATGTACTTACACTGTATTCTTCTCTGAAACAGGGCTAAAGCAGATCTAAACCCAAAACAAAAAAATATACTGGCGTATTTCGGTTTACAAACGCCTCGGTTATCGTAGTTTTCGGTTTACGAATGAAAATCCATTGAAAATAATGCTTTGGTTTACAAATTTATTTTGGAATACGAAGCATTTATAGCGCTGGCCCCGTGCCTTTAAAGTGCACTTTAAAAAGAGTTTTGAACAGATAAGACTTTTTTTTACTTTTTTATGATCTCCTGAACGGATTAATTGGTTTTCAGTGCATTTACAAATTAATTTTTAATCATGTTCCTGTACAGTATTTATGCCTTTAAAGTGCACTTTATAAAGAGTTTTGAACAGATAAAAGACTTTTTTTACTTTTTTTCTGACCTCTGGAATGGATTAATTGGTTTCCAATGCATTCCTATGGGAAACCGCATTTCAATTTATGAATTTTTCACAATACAAAAAGTCCCGCAGAACGCATTGAATTCGTAAACCGAGATACGCCTGTAATATATTGCAGCTGACTAGTTCTTAGATGAAGCATTCACATTCATTTTTATTTTTCATGCTAAAAATATTTTCAGCAAATACAGAAAATATCTGTTGATCTTGCTAGAAATGTTATGTCATTGTCACTTCTTGTAAGCGGAAAACACAGCAAAAACAATGTTATCTTTCTAGTGTAAACTAATAATGTCATCATCTGCCATATAATACGGAGGAACAAAGGTAGACATGTGGACAATTGCTTCTTCCATAGATAAGTGATACTAAACTCATGACACTGAATTAACAATATAAGGTCTCTCACAGTACATAAAACATGATCATGCATTTATTTTAGTAAAGTGACACTGCTAAATACCTTTTTTTTTTTTTAGCAGCGGTACATAGCAGTCATGTCACTGGTTTCTTTGTCCAGCTGAGTGCTGATTCAGATTCTAGGAGGAGTTTTCATTCTTCTCTAAGTTTCCTCCGTGCAGAGCCTGCATGACCCATGACCCTCTGGACATTGCTGATTGCCGATCACATGCACCCTCCACTAAAGCCTGTGTCCACATGCTTTTATGGGAGGCGGTGCCTCCATCAATCAAGATGTGTCATCCCACCTACTGTGTACTGTTTAACCACTAGCCTACAGGGCACTTATACCCCCTTCCTGCCCAGGCCAATTTCCAGCTTTCAGCGCTGTTGCACTTTGAATGACAATTGCACGGTCATGCAACACTGTACACATATGACATTTTTATCATTTTTTTGTGACAGATAGAGCTTTATTTTGGTGGTATTTAATCACCTCTGTTTTTTTTCTTTTTTCTTAAACAAAAAAAAACCACTGAAAATAAAAAAAAAAAGCGTTTTTTTCTTAGTTTGTGTTATAAAATTTTGTACATAAGTGATTTTTCGTCTTCACTGATGTGCGCTAATGAGGCTGCACTGATGGGCACTGATAGGTGACACTGATGGGCACTGATAGGTGACACTGATGGGCACTGATGAGGAGGCACTGGTAGGTGACACTGATGGGCATTGACAGGCATCACTGATTGGCACTGAAAGGCAGCACTCATATATGGCACTGATAGGCGGCACTGATAGGAGGCTCATTCACAGAGGTGCAGAGGACCTGTACAGCATGAAGAGGTACGTGTTCATGCCCAGAAGTGACATGTGTTTGAGCACAGTTGTCTATACAAATCAATGAGAAGCATGTCACTGCACATCCAAACATTTGCATACATGTTCATCCCTCCCAGCGTGCAGATGCTTAGATGTACGGTGACACGTTTAAAGCCACAGCCTGTCATTGATTTGTACAGGGACTGTGCTCAGACACTTGTCACTTCTGGGCACCTCCTGGGCTTATATACTCATGCATCTTCACACTGTACAGGCCTTCTGCAACTTGTCATTTCTGGGCACCTCCTGGGCGTATACACTCATGCATCTTCACACTGTACAGGTCTTCTGTAACTTGTCACTTCTGGGCATATACACTCATGCATCTTCACACTGTACAGGCCTTCTGCAACTTGTCACTTCTGGCACCTCCTGGGCGTATACACTCATGCATCTTCACACTGTACAGGCCTTCTGCAACTTGTCACTTCTGGCACCTCCTGGGCGTATACACTCATGCATCTTCACACTGTACAGGCCTTCTGCAACTTGTCACTTCTGGCACCTCCTGGGCGTATACACTCATGCATCTTCACATTGTACAGGCCTTCTGCAACTTGTCACTTCTGGGCACCTCCTGGGTGTATACACTCATGCATCTTCACACTGTACAGGCCTTCTGCAACTTGTCACTTCTGGGCACCTCCTGGGTGTATACACTCATGCATCTTCACATTGTACAGGCCTTCTGCAACTTGTCACTTCTGGGCACCTCCTGGGTGTATACACTCATGCATCTTCACACTGTACAGGCCTTCTGCAACTTGTCACTTCTGGCACCTCCTGGGCGTATACACTCATGCATCTTCACATTGTACAGGCCTTCTGCAACTTGTCACTTCTGGGCACCTCCTGGGTGTATACACTCATGCATCTTCACATTGTACAGGCCTTCTGCAACTTGTCACTTCTGGCACCTCCTGGGCCTATATACTCATGCATCTTCACACTGTACAGGCCTTCTGCAACTTGTCACTTCTGGGCACCTCCTAGGCGTATACACTCATGCATCTTCACACTGTACAGGCCTTCTGCAACTTGTCACTTCTGGCACCTCCTGGGCGTATACACTCATGCATCTTCACATTGTACAGGCCTTCTGCAACTTGTCACTTCTGGCACCTCCTGGGCCTATACACTCATGCATCTTCACATTGTACAGGCCTTCTGCAACTTGTCACTTCTGGCACCTCCTGGGCCTATACACTCATGCATTTTCTCCTTTTACTTTATATTTTCTCTGTGTAAGTCACTTTAGCTGGGATCCTGAGACAACCTCACAGAGTTTCTGGACATGTACTTCCTAAAGCCTGTGCTATGTAATTTTCTCTGTATGATCTACGTATCACCAAATACATGCAAACTTCCTTAGCAGGGCTGAATCTGATTGGGGTGAGAAGATTTTTTGAAGTGTACCTTTAAAAGCAGATTGCTGTCTGAAGGTCCATCTGTCCCTTATCACTTTTCAATAAGTTTCAAATCACCATTCTCCATGATGAGTGTGAGCTTTACATTTCACACAACGCGGTTACATACATAGCCATCTGTTTCATACTTCTGGAGATAGTGACCTGGGCTTTCTGACCACGGGCGCTTGTAATCTGAGTGGTGTGTGATTGCTGGCCTGTGGATCGGCAGCTGTTACTCAGGCTAATGAAAAAATGCTATTGACATCAGACTGGCGATTTAATTCCATTAGAAAGTGATGTTGAACTGTCCAAACTTTCCAGAAACAGAAAGAAAACAAGAAAGGAGAAAATCCTGACGATTACTTTGTACAACTCATCCAATTTTCTTTGCTCACGTTTTTATAAATATGCGGAAATATTTTTTTTTTTCAGTACAAAAAAGATGATAGTTAATAATCAGCTTATAAATAATTTACCTCTAATGCCATTTACTTTTCACTATAATGCTGTTGTGCATTGATGGACATCTCAGCTTATTCCCACCAGATGTGTTCTCCTTCTTTTTCCATTAAAAACTTAATGTGGCCATACAAGCTTCGATAAATGTTCAGTTTCCTTTCCAATCAATCTCTTCCAATATGAATAATCAAACTATATTCGACCACCCATTTGATCAACATGCCAGTTATGGGGTAATGCGTTTTGATTGATAGTAAGATACAACTGTAATTTATGATCGTAGGTTATCAATTGCATCTCTGTTTTCACCATGTAATCTCATAATCTGATTGACTGAAATACGATCGTATTCATGAACAATGTATTCCAGTGCTGCAAATTGATCAATAATTTTACTCCATGGCCGATCAACTCAGTTTGATTGAATCCGATTAAAATTGAGTCTAAATAGATTATAAAAGAAGTTATGGCTATTTGATCATTTGCAGATTTTATAGTTTTTAATGATATGCACATAATTGTGGGATAAAAAAATCAAAACTTGTATGACCTCCATTAGACTTCATTGAAACTGGCAGTGATATATATGCTTTTATATGGGTTTATATGACATTTCTAAATGCATATATCTCTTAGATTGTAAGCTCCAAGGAGCAGGGCCCTCCTATTCCTCTTGTATTGAACTGTATTGTTGCTGTATTGTCTCCCTTTATATTGTAAAGCCCTGAGCAAACTGTTGGCGCTATATAAATCCTGAATAATATTAATAATAAAATGCATATAATGATTTTAAACGGTAAGATTCACACTATGCCATTTTCAGTGTTTAGGGCTAGCACACACACACACGCAGAGGGCCATACATTATCAAGAAGGACCGCATGTAGTATCTTAGAGTGCTTTTGCAGGCACCCATCCAACCTGTTGCTGTGACCCACTGTTCACACCCACATGGAAGAAAAATATATTTGAAATATATTTAAAAAATATTCTTCCCAAATATATTGCCATATATTTGAAATATACAATTTTGGCCATATTCAATATATTTAAAAATATATATATATATATATATATATATATATATATATATATATATATATATATATATATACTGCATGTTGAAATGCGTTTTTATTACAAAATATATGAAAAATATTTTTAAAAATACATTTCAAATATACTGTGTATCTATAAAAATACAAATCTACATTTTTGGAATGCATTTACAAATATATGTAAAAATATATGTTAAAATTTCTTTTTTATGTTAAAAAAAATCTGAAGAATATATTTAAAAAATATAGATTATGGATCGAATAACGGCCAGTCTCTGCTGAACCAGCCGAGATTCGATCCATCTATGGCCAGCTTTAGATTGTCTGCAGTTTTAAATTTTCCTTTATGTAAGTGACAAAGAAAGCCTGACCCAGCTAACACTTTTAAAGGCTAATTCCACCTTTCTTACTAAGTTGGAACATGGTGTCATTCTTCTACAGCTGTACCCCTTCAAAAAGTGAAATATGTCTTTAAAGCAGAAGTACACCTCTGCCAATATTTTTTCTCTTTTGGCCCCAGGAGCTTTTAGCGATAATAATGTGTGAATGGAAGTTACATCATCAAGTCATGGAGCAGTGATGTAAATGCACGCTGAACTGCGCATGCATGGCTTTGCGTACAGGCAGGGAAAAGGGTTTACAAGAGATCAAAAAGGTCTGCTTTATCATAAAAGTCCTGCCTGTCTGTGTTTTTTTAGGTTTATTTCCACTTTAAAGCTGATAAAACAGCAGTTTTTTTCTTTTCAAAAAAAGATTAACTCTATGAATAAAAGGTGTTTTAATCACCTTGGAAATGTTATATGGTTTGTCCCAATCTCTGTAAGTGGCTCTATTGCTGGACAGCTTGACCTGCGTGCAACTGTGGAGAAAAATATAAAATAAGGCATATAAAAAAAAGAATTCATATGCTGAAGACTATAATTATAATCCCAAAAACAGTTACCAGAATACTGCTGCATTATAGTGACCCTTTGGATCTAAGTCTAGTATCACACTAGTTTGCATCTGGAAAAGTGTAGTGCCTACAGATGCCTGCGGGTGAGGAAATGCATGCAATTTAAACACATTCTCGCACCCACAATAGTGTGAACCTAGCTTAACATACAGTATGATAGGTAGCCACAGCCATCCTATTTTTCATTGATGATCGTTATAATATTACACTGCTCAAAAAAATTAAAGGAACACTTTTTAATCAGAGAATAGCATCCACTCAATTAACCTCCTGGGATATTGATCTGGTCAGTTAAGTAGCAGAAAGGGTTGTTAATCAGTTTCAGCTGGTTTGGTGTTAATGAAATTAACAGGTGCACTAGATGGGCAACAATGAGACTATCCCCAAAACAAGAATGGTTTTACAGATGGAGACCACTGACATTTGTTTTCCCTACTCATCTTTTTTGGCTGCTTTTCACTAGTTTTGCATTTTGCTAGGGTCAGTGTCACTACTGATAGCATGTGGCAATACCTGGACCCTACAGAGGCTGCACAGGCAGTCAAACTCCTCCAGGATGGCACATCAATACGTGCCATTGCCAGAAGGTTTGCTGTGTCTCCCAGCACAATCTGAAGAGCATGGAGGAGATTCTAGGAGACAGGCAGTTACTCTAGGAGAGCTGGACAGGGCCGTAGAAGGTCCTTAACCCATCAGCAGGACCGGTATCTGCTCCTTTGTGCAAGGAGGAACAGAAGGAGCACTGCAGAGCCCTACAAAATGACCTCCAGCAGGCCACTGGTATGAATGTCTCTGACCAAACAATCAGAAACAGACTTCATGAGGGTGGCCTGAGGGCCCAATGTCCTCTAGTGGGCCCTGTGCTTAGTGCCTGGAACCATAGAGCTTGATTGGCATTTGCCATTGAACACCAGAATTGGCAGGTCCACCACTGGCGCCCTGTGCTTTTCACAAATGAGAGCAGGTTCACATTGAGCACATGTGACAGACGTGAAAGGGTCTGGAGAAGCCGTGGAGAACATTATGCTGCCTGTAACATCTTTCAGCATGACCGTTTTGGTGGTGGGTCAGTGATGGTCTGGGGAGGCATATTCATGAGGGACACACAGACCTCTACAGGCTAGACAATGGCACCCTGACTGTCATTAGGTATCGGAA